GTCGTATTAGATGATTTATGCAGACTTTTAATTAAATGAACAAGTGTTTACATTGGTGCGTTATTTAATGAGGTTTTAATAGTATTTATTGAATGGTGAGCTCTGCTGTGATGTAATTTTTTTCTTTGGGATTTTGAAAGTCTTGACTAACTAACTAACTAACTAACTAACTAACTAACTAACTAGTTCTTATTAACCATGGGCCAGAATATCCTTTAAAAAAATACCCTATACAATATAAATCAAAATGTTAGAGACACCATTTCTCATATTATCAAATTATTTGCTATAGTATAATTAGAAATAACTATAAAAAAGATAAATATGCTAGTACAAATCTATCTCAGATGACTCTGATAGAAAGGTACATGATGTAATTAATTACAATCAAGCAAAAATAATTTAGACAACTGTTAGAAGAGTTTATTTACACAACTGTCAGCACTTTGTTGTTCATCTTTATCCTCAATGACAGGCTGTAGTCTCTGCTGTCAGTCAGATTCATGCAAACTTGAGCTTTTTTTCCAGACTCTTTCTGCAGCAGCTCCTTCACTTTCTGTTACCTTTTATTGGATCCTGTTGTCTGTACGAATCCTTTTGTGGTATATGTCAAAGTTGACTTCATACTGCAATCAACACTTATTAACTATAGTGTCCTAGTAAAACTATTAAATATTATATCTGGTGTCTGAATAATTTTTTTGTTTGATTGTATATAAACATAAACTATATTATTATTATTATTATTATTATTATTATTAGAAGTAATATTGAATTGTAGGGTATTTTTTATTCATTCCGGTGCCATCTTTGGCCATTGTTAATCTCAGACTCTGATGAACATGCACTTGTCAGACTCTTTGGGAAATATGAAGGAATGCAGACAGGGAAATAAGTATTGAACTTGTCACCATTTTTCTCAGAAAACATAGTTCTAACAGTCCTGTTGACTTAACATTTTTATTAGATGTTGGTAACAGAAAAACACACACAAGTTTAGCTTTGCACTTTTTTTGCATGGTACATTAATATCCACATAAACCTGATTTAAGTCCACAAACCGGGATTGAAGCGTCTTCTTTTATAATTGTGACACTATGCGGCTGTGGCGATGAATTACGTAGCGATTTTACTGTCGTTATTACAAACATGCACTGTTTTAAAAATGTTTTAACTCATTCTTGATCACATTTGATGATGATGGATGATCACAGTGAGCTGTCTTATTGATATGATTATACTGTGGAGACATGTTAATACGTGCCTGTCAATCAATATGGTGGCCAACATCATGTTGTGGCGGGCCCCGAAATGGGAGGGATTCGGATCTTATTTTAACGTCAGGAAATTTTTAAAAAGAGACTTTTTGTGTTTCTATCTCTCCAATATAACTGTGGTCACACTACCTACTCATAGTTCTGTCCAAACAGCTTACAAAAGATTATTTTCATCATAGGTGCCCTTTAAACCACACTCCATATACTGCAGTTCCTGATACTGTAAATGCATACTTGCGTTTCACACTAGATGAGTGTTTATTTTTGACCCACTCTAAAATGTCCTGCACGGGCAGGTGAAGGGTACACAGTGGAAGGAGCTAAAGATACTATCATGCCATTGAACAAGCAACACGTGCCACCATTATCCCCTCATGTCTCTCAAGGTTAAAAAAAATGTGGCTGTTTTTTGTCTGATTCATTATTTAGAGAGCAGCAGAGCTAAAGAGAGGCACCATAGTGAGACACAGTAGGATCTCCATCATTTCTCTTGTCTCAGTCTCCACATGCCACGCTAGCATCAAAAATGAATAGAAGAAAAGGCTGAAAATCCTAAAACAGGAGGATGTGGATTAAAGCCGAGCAGGAGAAATAACAGGAAGCAAAGTAGGTGTTTCTGCTAGTAAAATGTCAGGTGCACTTTACAATTTTTGGTGACGTCTGAGATGAAATATGATTCGTGTGAAAAACATTTTTTTTTTTATGAGGCATATAAAAATAGCTAAATTAATTGTTCATAGCCCAAGGATAAAAGCTTGAAGGCATTTGTAACCTTTTCACCCTGTGAGTGGCACGCCATGAATTTAAGCTGCAGAACGCACTACCATAAGGCGTTGATTTAATTAGGATCCCTCCCCATGTAAAGCTGTTGCAAATCTGAGGGTGTGTATATGCGATTAAAAATTCCTTTTTCAGAGGCATTTTACCTGTATAAGGTCGTTTTTTTTTTTTTTTTTTTTTTTTTTTTGTGTTGTCTTTTATGTTAAATTCAAACTACAAAAAAAAGGAATAGTTCACCCAGAAATGTAAATGACTCACTATTCACTAGTGGTTCCAAACCTTCATGTGTTTCCTTTTGCTTTTGAACACAAAGACAAATACCATGGAAGTCAAGGGGTTCTGCTTTCCAAGACTTATTCCAAATTACTTTGTTTCTGTTGAACAGAACAAAGAAACTCAAACAGGTTTGTGACGAGTGAAGGTTGAGTAAACAATGAGAGAATTTTGTTTTTTATTTTTATTGATTTTAGATGAATATGGCCATGATAAATAAAAAAAAAAATTAATTAATAACTCAACTGGAATAACTACAGCAGTCGTCCCCGTCAACTTCATATGAAGTAAGAGCTCGCGATGACATGATGTTGTGTAAAAGTGTTGCTGTCCCATTTTTTTATTAAATTTGAAGCCCTTTTCCTGCACACTCTGATTCAAGGGGAAAGGGTAGGGGTAAACAATAGGATTGGGATTGGGCCTATGTTTTAGTTCCTTCGTGGAATTAGTGAGTAACCATATTCAAACAGTGCATCTGGAAAGTATTTATAGCTCTTCACTTTTTCCACATTTTTTATGTTACAGCCTTATTCCAAAATGGATTAAATTCATTTATTTCCTCAAAATTCTAAACGCAAAACCCCATATTGACAATATGAAAAAAGATTTTTTTAAACCGTCGCAAATTTGAAATTTGCAAAAGCTTGAAAGATGACATGTACATGAGTATTCACAGCCTTTGATGTGAAGCTGTAAATTGAGCATAGGTACATTCTGTTTCTACTGATCATTCTTAAAATGTTTGAGCAATTAATTGGAGTTCACTTGTGGTAAATTCGGTTGACTGGACATGATTTGAAAAGGCACACACCTGTCTATATAAGGTTCCAGGGTTGACAGTGCATGTCAAAGTACAAACCAAGCATGAAGACAAAGGAATTGTCTGTAGACCTTCGAAACATTGTTTCGAGGCACAAGACTGAGGCAGGTTACTGAAAAATTTCTGCTGCTCTGAAAGTTACTCCATTATCCATAAGTGGAAGATGTTTGGAACCACCAGGACTCTTACTAGAGCTGGCCGGCCATCTAAGCTAAGTGATTGGGGGAGAAGGGCCTTAGTCAGTGAGATGATCAATAACCTCATGGTCACTCTGTCTGAGCTCCAGCGTTCTTTTGTGGAGAGAGGAGAACCTTGCAGAAGGACAACCATCTCTGCAGCAATCCACTAATCCACCAACCTGTATGGTAGAGTGGCCAGACAGTAGCCACTTCCTGCCCGAAATTTGCCACAAGCCATCTGAAGGACTCTCAGACCATAAGAAATACATTTCTATGATCTGATGAGACTAAAATTGAACTCTTTGGAGTGAATGCCAGGTGTTACATTTGGAGAAAACCAGGCACCGCTCATCACCAGGCTAATACCATCCTTAAAGTGAAGCATGGTGGTGACAGCATAATGCTGTGGGGATGTTTTTCAGCGGCAGGAACTGGATGACTAGTCAGGAGGATAGAGGGAAAGATGAATGCAGCCTTGTAAAGAGACATCCTGCTTTAGAGTGCTGACTTCTTGCCGATTCATCTTCCAGCAGCACAATGACTCAAAGCACACCACCAAAATATCAATGGAGTGGCTTCACAACAACTCGATAAATGTCCTTGAGTGGCCCAGCCAGAGCCCAGACCTAAATCCTATTGAACATCTCTGGAGAGATCTGAAAACGGCTGTACACCATTGCTTCCCATCCAACCTGATAGAGCTTGATAGGTACGGCAAAGAGGAATGGGCAAAAATTTCCAAAGACAGATGTGCCAAGATTGTGGCATTATATTCAAAAAGACTTGAGGCTGTAACTGCTGCCAAAGATGCATCAGCAAAGTACTGAGCAAAGGCTGTGAATATTTTTGTACATGTGGTCTTTCAGGTTTTTTATTTTATTTTATTTTTTATAAATTTGCAGCAATTAAAAAAATAAATAAATAAACATTTTTACATTGTCATTATGGGGTATTGAGAGTAAAATTTTGAGGAAATAAATTAATGTAATGCATTTTGGGAAAAGACTTTAACATAAAAAATGTGGAAAAAGTGAAGCGGTAAGAATATTTTCCGAAGGCACTGTAAACATATAAATAAAATTTGATATACATGGTAGACAATCTGATTTTTAATCTACAACGCAGCTCTTGAAGCTCGCATCTGATTGGCTTAATGTTCAAGTGATATATGAGAGGTCCACACACAAAAATCCCGGGCAATTTACAAGTGAAAGAAGATTTGCACATTTGCAGTCACGGTGAACTTTTAATTTTTAAAAATTGAAAACATTTTGTACACTGTTATACGTTTGTAAAATATGTTTTGCATTTGTGAAACATATTTTATGAATGTGTATTTTTATTTTGTGGACGTGAATTTAGTTTCATGCATAAGAATTGGGCTACAAATATTTATATTGTGTTTTTTTTGCCTGAATTATTTGTGGGATTTTTGTAGCTGCAGACAAAGGCACCTGATATATTAGACAGAATGAACGCTGATCTTCTCATATCTCCAGCCAGATGCCCCAGAGCACAACGGATCACAAAGGATCAAACTTCCCTCTCTATCACGCAGAGATGTACAGTGTGTGCAATTATTACAGAGCACAATAGAAACAAAACAAGAGAACCTATGCAATTACATCTGCACAGCAGGGGTGCAAAATCTGTGAAATTAATGTTATTTACTTGCTGTATTTCCTGGGGTAGGGGGTACGAGGGGATGCGTATCTCCATTTCTTCTTCATCAGCTGTTTCACAAGAGATCTCCTCTGAAGGACAAAAGAATAAAAACACTGAATTTGCTGACAAAGACACTATGAAAAAAAATGATACTATTTATTAACACATTAGTTTACTACTGTAAAGCATTTTTAAAAATGCAAGTCATGAAATAAAATTAAAATGTGAGATTAAAATGGAAAAAATGGGCTATAAAAAGTCTTAAACTTTTAAAGATATTTTAAGACTTTTCAGAGACCAAGTAAAGAAAATGTAATAAACAATTTGAAGATAACACAATACATCAATATGTCAAAATTTTTTTGAGAACACAAATTGAGTCCTGCAACTAAAGCAACACTTTGTGCCCATCTCCATTAGTTTTCATTTATTTCCCAAAACAATACATGCAGCTGAAACCAGAAGTTTACATACACTGCATAAAAAGGCACATAACCATTAAAAAAGTCAGATGTTAATGTGACTAAACTTTTTCTCTTTTAGGTAAGTTAGGATTATCAATTTTGTTTTTGTTATGCTTAATAGCAAAATAATGAGAGAGATATTTTTTGAGAAATTGTTATAACTTTTCTTGAAAGTCAAGTTTACATGCAATAAGATTATTATGCCTTTGAAAAAGCTCAGATGATGGTGTCAAGGTTTTAATAGTTTCTATTTGGCTAATTGACAACATTTGAGTTAATTAGAGACACAACTGTAGAATAGTATTTAAGGAAAACCTCAAACAAAATATGCTAAATTACACTGGGAAAAAATATATATAATTTTGGAGACATGTCTGGTGGTCTGATGGAACTAAGATTGAACTGTTTGGCCATAATGACCAGTGTTCCATTTCAAGGACAAAGGGGAAAGCTTATAAGCTTAGAAACGCCATACCAACTGTGAAGTATGGGGCAACAGCATCATGTTGTGAGGCTGTTTTGCTGCAGGAGGGACTGGTCAACTTCACAGCATAGATGGCATCATGAAGAAAGAACATTGTGTTGAAATACTGAAGCAACATCTCAAGACATCAGCCAGGGAATTAAAACTTGGCCACAAATGGGTCTTCCAAACAGACCATGACCCTAAGCATACTGACAAATTAGTTAAAATGTGCTTTAAAGACAACAGAGTAAATGTTTTGGAATGGCCATCACAAAGCCCTGATCTTAATCCTATAGAAATTTTGTGGGCAGAGTTGAAAAAGCTTGTGCGAGCAAGACAGCCTACAAATCTGACTCAGTTACACCAATTCTGTCAGGAGGAATGGGCCAAAATTCCTTTAAATTATTGTGAGAAGCCTGTGCAAGGATACCCAAAACATTTGACCAAAGTTATACAATTTAAAAGCAAAGCTAAAAATACCAAGGAAATGCATGTGAACTTCTGACTGTCTAGAAATCAATAAAAAATTCTAAAAAAAAAAAATGTATCTTGCACTTAGCAAATGTAAATGATTTCGGTACTCCTAATGGACCTAAAATAGTAAACGTTTAGTATGATTTACCATCAGACGTTTTAAAAAAAAATGGTTATGTTCTTTTTTTGGAGTTATGTAAACTTCTGGTTTCAACTGTACATCTTGATTTGAATTCTTTCTTTGCACTGAATGTAACATTTAATCTAATTTATATACATATTTCACCAGAAAAAATGCTGTCTTTAACACTGTTAAACTCTATCATTATTACTCATCTTACACTATCTCCTCTCTTTAAAATTCACAACTAAGTTATTTTATACTGTAGTAAGTCATTAACTAAAAGTTTATATATATATATATATATATATGTATGTATGTATGTATATATATATTGATTCATTCGATATAATAATCCAGGGTGAATGAATGAATGAACTGCCAACTTGTCCAGCACATGTTTTATGCAGCGTATTCCATTCCAGCTGCAACCCATCCTGGGGAACATTCATACACACTCGTTCACACACATACACTATGGACAATTTAGTCTACCCAATTCACCTGTACCACATGTCTCGGACAGTGGGGTAAACCGGAGCACCCGGAGGAAACCCGCGCAAACACGGGGAGAACATACAAACTCCACATAGAAATGCCAACTGATCCAGCTGACTCATCTTGCTGTGAGGTGACAGCACTACCAACTGCGCCACCGCGTCACCCTATATATATATATATATATATATATATATATATATATATATATATATATATATATATATATATATATATTAAGTCAGAATTATTAGCCCAGTTTATTTTTCTCCCCAATTTTTGTTTAACGAAGAAAAGATTTTTTAACACATTTCTAAACTAAATAGTTTTACTTAATAGTTTTAATAACTAATTTCTAATTGATTTATATTTTTCAAGACACTTTTGTAGAGCTTATTGTTACATTTAAAGTTATTGTATAACAGTGGTTTGTTCCGCAGACTATCGTAAAATTATGTAGTTTAAATTGGGCTAATGATTTTGACCTTAAAATGTGTTTTAAAAAATTAAAAACTGCTTTTATTCTAACCAAAATAAAACAAATAAGACTTTATCCAGAAGAAACAAATATATTATAAGCAATATTGTAAAAAAATGTAGGCTACTTGCTCTGTTAAACATCATTAAGAAAGAGATTTTAGATAGATAGATAGATAGATAGATAGATAGATAGATAGATAGATAGATAGATAGATAGATAGATAGATAGATAGATAGATAGATAGATAGATAGATAGATAGATAACAGTTGATAGATAGATAGATAGATAGATAGATAGATAGATAGATAGATAGATAGATAGATAGATAGATAGATAGAGATAGATAGATAGATAGATAGATAGATAGATAGATAGCATATTTTATTAGTAATTTAACTCTATAACAAGTATTATTTAACTTTAGTCCCTCATTCCACCTGACTGAAACAACTTAGAAATCGTATTAAAAAGTTTTCTTGGTAAAGTATTCATCCTTACCCAGTTAGCAAAGTAGCAACACTGATACACGCTAGCTGCACTGCACCTTGTTTTGGTGACATTTCGGTATCTTTTATAATTTAGTTGAAATCATATTCAAAAACTAATCACCTACCCATTATGTCCATCTGCAACGGAAACTGCTAAATACGAGTCGTTTTTGTAAGATCGTGTGAAAAGCACGCTTTAAAAGTGAAACTCCAGCGTTGTGTAGTCACCATAACGACTACGCATGGTTTACGCAAACAGCGTAGAGCTCAGCTGAGGAGGACGCTCTTGAACTGCTCGGTCATTCAGAGCGCATGAGATGGATTCTTTTCCTAACCCCACGCATTTACAGAACTGTGTTTATTTAAGGATTGTTCTTAGATATAGTCGTGTTCGTGCTTCGCCTGCATGACTGTGCAGGTCAATGAACTCTGCGTGGCGTCTGATCGTGACTCGTGTGTAAAAATGCAGATTAGCTCGACTGCTCTGTGTGCGTTCGTGAGGGCTGAGCTGCGTTTAACGTTACAGCTGAAAAGCAAGGATGTGTGTGTGATAAAACTGATACGAGTGGGCTTTGAGGGGATTTTTTCGAGAAAATCCTCGAAACCCCGACCTTATTTGTCTCGCTGCGATAAATCCTGGGAGACACGCAAAGTCCAGGCTATCAGGATTTACTATCGAGCTCTGTCTGCTCGTAATGATCATCTTTAGGTTTTATTCAGTAAGGATTGAATAGCAGTGATGCAATTACCACAGTACATCATATGAGAATTATAAAATGAAATATAATCAGTATTAGTATTATGATTATTAAAAGAAACGGTACGGTATAGGTTGGAGCCTATATCTGTTGATTGTTTGTTGTGTTGATCCAATAAAGAGCAACCACTGTTTAATGGCAGTGCGCCCAGGGGGAATGGAAGCTTGCGTTTATAGAGTTCATCCAGGCACGCTATGTGTATGGGGAAGTGTGTAATGTAAATAGAAGCTTGCCGAAAGGACAAGTCACTGAATGAGTGTGTTTGCGTGCGTGAGGATGTGACTGAGAGTGTGCGTGCGAACCCTTCTGCGCTCTGTGGCGTAAATTGCGTCTGCGTGACAGTGCGGAAGGAATAGGTGGAGTCTAGACAAACGAAAAGACACCCAGGTTTATTTATCTGCAAAATACATAATAATGAAGCATTCACAAGTTGGTGGTTCATTCCGCTGTGGCGACCCCTGATTAATAAAGGGACTAAGCTGAAAAGAAAATGAATGAATGTATCATAGCTCCCTTGAGAAATTTTTTTTTCTATTGGCTGCAGAAAAAAAAAAAAAAAAAAAAAATATATATATATATATATATATATATATATATATATATATATATATATATATATATATATATATATATATATATATATATATATATATATATATATATATATAAATGTGTGTGTGGATTTCTTAAGGGGCCTAATGAGAACCAGAATGTTTTATGCAACAGATGCCCTCCCAGCTGCAACCCAACTCTGGGAAACACCCACACACTGACAAAATACATTTAGAATTTATTCATTCATTTTCTTTTTAGCTTAGTCACTTTATTCATCAGGGGTTGCCACAGTAGAATGAACCGCTAACTTATCCAGCATTTTTACATCCAGTTTTATGCAGCGGATGCCCTTCCAGCCGCAACCCAACACTGGGAAACACCCATACACTCTTGCATTTACACACAAACACTACAGCCAATTTAGCTTATTCATTTCACCTATACCGCATGTCTTTGGACTGTGAGGGAAACCGTAGCACCTGGAGGAAACCCACACAAACATGAGGAGAACATGCAAACTCCACACTGAAATGCCAGCTCACCAATGTCAGGACTAGAAGCAGCAACCTTCTTGCTGTGAGGCGATCATGCCACTGCACAACCATGAACCCTATATTTTTTATATTTATAATATAAAACATATAAATAGCTTACATTTGGAAAATAATAATTTCACAAGAGAACTATGTGTGTGGTACAAAATGCTAATTTTGCCATGTTTAACCAGCTAAATGCTGAAGGTGGTCCAACCTTATGATGTCCAATCATGTTGTTTATTTTTTTTTTCTTAGTTGAAAGAATTGTTAGTGTGAGATAGATAGATAGATAGATAGATAGATAGATAGATAGATAGATAGATAGATAGATAGATAGATAGATAGATAGATAGATAGATAGATAGATAGATAGATAGATAGATAGATAGATAGATAGATAGATATACTTTGTTTGACAGAGAAGTGAAATAATATGCTTACAGCAAAATATTATTTGAATTATATAAAATTATTTCTATGCACTTGTTTCTTGTCTAAAATAGCATGCTTCAATTCTAACAATAAATCTAAATAAAAATATGTTCCACACGTGTGTGCTATTAACATGCTGTTTTGTTGTTTACTCGATCTGTTATATAGGGCATGTTTTCCTTATAAATAGGCTTTCTGGGGCTTGTTGTTTCCTCACACAACTTCAGCCTCTCGCTCAGCCCTGAGGGATTTGTGCCTCCCAGGGAACCTACGGTAAACACCAAATGGTCTTTTCGTGCTGTCTGCACGCAAACGTGTGTTAACCCAATCTTGCAAATCAATTTAGGCTGATGGCCAGTATGTCGCTTCTCATATCACCGGGCGCACGGCAATGGCGTGACTCTGCTGTTGTGCACTCGTCCTAGTTCCGTGAGACAAGGCTATAAAGTACAAGGCACCTGACGAGCTGGACAGCCTCTCGCAAGCAGATTTTAATAGGAAATAAAGCCAGATCTGAGGAGTGCTGCCCATAAACTGGACAGGATATGAGCCCACATTAATTTCATTTCAGAAATAGCTAAGAATAGGCTATGTACATTTTTTGTAAGGAGCCAGCTGCTCGTGCGTGTTTAAGAATGGAGGAAGGGAGATTTAAAAGAGCCCTTGTGAATCGATTTGCATGAGAAACGCAGAGGCGACGCGGATCCTCTCACGGCAGCGCGTTGTGTTACACATTTGAGCGGCGGATGTCGTGACAAACCCCCGCCATATCAGTTCAAATAACCGCTGCGACTTTTACTGAACGCAGTCACGCATCAAGCATGGGAGGCGTGGCCACAAACATTGCGTCACAGCTGCCAAAACCCGTCCTCCTGCTCTTCAGCAGACTAAACTAGGATAGAATGTAGGCTGCTGTTAATTGTTATTTCTGATTAACTATGTTAACTTAAAAAGTACAATAATGTTAGTATCGGTTGTATGTAAGCATTACTATTTCAGCACTACAAAAATGTATTTATTCAACTATCTATCTATCTATCTATCTATCTATCTATCTATCTATCTATCTATCTATCTATCTATCTATCTATCTATCTATCTATCTATCTATCTATCTATCTATCTATCTATCATCATTTAAGAAAATAGTCTATTATTTATATAAAAAGCTCTTGGATGAATTAATAAATTAATTAATTTTATAATCTGCATTATTGTGTAATTATTATAGTTTAAATAAAACTAGAGAAAGAAATACATTAAGGAAAGAAACATGAACTTAAAATGTATTTTCTATTAAGTATTTCATATTAAGTTTCATAATAGTTTTTTTCTAAATCTGATGGTATTTCATTGAACAGATTTTATGATTTCAATTAATTTGACTCACAAATCTATCTTTTAGATTCATTTTTTTAATAGGAAGCTATACATTATTATATTTGTGCATATGCATTAGATTAGTCAGTACTGAAGCCACATCTGGAGCTTATCTACAAATAACTTACGATAACAGTCCAAAATCTAGTACAACCAAATGTATATGTTATAAAAAAAAATATTAAATACAAATTTAAAAAGCAGCAAAATTGAAAAATTGAAATAAAATTTTGTAGGTTGCACATTTGTTTGCAATATTTAGCTTGCAATATTTAATTGTATTATCTTTCAATTTCTAAATATGTTTGGTGACTAAAATATTATTTTAATAAAGATATCTGTTTAATAAATCTGTTTTGTTTAAATGCACCAAAATACATTGCCTATATTAACTGAGAAAAGGATAAAAATATAAATTTTCAAAATGTGGGTGTACTCAAATATACTGAGCACTATATATATAGTATGTATGTATGTGAATGAGAGTGTATGGGTGTTTCCCAGTGATGGGTGGCAGCTGGAAGGGCAACCGCTGCGCGTAAAATATGTGCTGGATAAGTTGGCGGTTCAACTTCCGCTGTGGCGACCCCTGATGAATATTAAAGGGGCTAAACTGAAAAGAAAATTAACAAAGTTTGATTTGGAAATGTATATAGGCTATTATTTGTACAATGGTATGTATTTCTCAATATTTCTCATATTTTTTTCTAGGACTAAATCAGAATATGAAAAAAAGTAATATGTTTTCTTTTTTATATTTTTTTATATATTTCCTATTAAATATTTCATGAGTTTCGTAATTTAGGTTTTTTTTTTCTTAATCTGTTGGTATTTCCTTCAACAGATTTTATGATTTCTATTAATTTGACTGGTTGATTTACATAAAAAAATTATAATAATAAGCAAATATCTATGTACAACTACACAAAAATTTAGAAAATAAAAAATTGTCAAAAAGTGACTTATGAAAGCATCAGTAATGTTCTTACATTAGCTAGTAGGTTATTCCAGTGTGTATAAAAAGGACCTGATTCCGTTTTATTTACTCTAAACTATTCAACCTCAAAGATAACTTGTTACTATATAAAACTGAATAAAAATACACAAGTATTCTATAGCTTATCTCAATCAAAAGATTAAGTACATGTTTAGACCAAATCAGTACAGTTTTTCTGTCAGTATTTTCTGTAAGTACATTCCAAAAAAGTATATAAAGTACATTTTTAAAGAGTCGCCTGAAAGTTTTTTACTTAAAATATAGTAAAAGCACACATAAAGAAAGGTGCATTAAGGCAGGTATAGGGAATTATTCTTTCAAGTTGTTTATAACAAATTCTGAACCTACCATCTGAATGTCAAAGCTAGACTCATATGAATAGACAACCTTTTTCTCATCTTCTTTTATTCAACGTATGTGTGAACTTCAGCCTCAGTTTCCTGTTCTTAGGAGTGGCACCAATGTGGTTTTCTGCTGCCGTTGTTCGTTTGCTTTAAGATTTGTTGGGTTGTGATGAGAGATTCTTTTTTGCAGACCTCAGTTGTGGCTAGTTAAGTTTCTATCAACTGACCCAGTCTGGCAATCCTCTTCTGACCCCTTGACATCAACTTGGCATTTTGGCCAACAGAACTCAAATTCACTGATTATTAACTCTTATTCTCAAAAATGTTTGTTCGTGAATATCCAAGTAGTTTTGAAATATTTTGATCTGTTGGGTTTGAACATTGAATCATCTTGACCATAATCAAAAGCCTAAATTTGTTGCTTCCATGTGTTTGCCCACCGCGATCTCATGGCATTTTATAACTTTTTTTGAGTCATAATGGCTAATTTCTGTTAGTTTGTATATGATCTCATTCATACATTATTTTACTCTACCCTCCTTGAATGTTAGAAATGGGGTTTGGGGCAAGCCTCCTTTTAAAAATCTTTCCTTTGTCATTCAAAATTAAATTGGTCTGACAACATGTGAAATAGTTACATTTTCTTGTGAGATCTGCATATTTATATTATATTTTAATGTGTAATTTCTAAACTTAGAATACATATGATTTGGATATAACACCTCTCCAATCCAGTTCCATGAATCTGAGTTCTCCATAATACACACACTTATTAATGATTCATACTTGTCTTCCTTGTGATGAAGAGTAGGCAAAATCTGATATATAGTGGGGGGAAAAAAGAAGTACATGTTCATCAGATTCTGGATTCTAACCAGGTTCATGATTGATCGTGTCAAAACATGTTGTCATGCGCTTTACGAGCTGCACCTCTAATCACTCAACTAGCTTATTCCAACGAGGTGTGCTAAATAGACACTCCAAAATCGGTGTCCCTCGCAAGGGACCCAAGTGCGCACGGGCCCCTGGGCCTGTGCCCATAATGCCCATTGGTTAATTCGGCCCTGTCCACAGTTTAACAAAGTGACTTTTTATGACATTTTTAGAGGTTTGAAATAATATAACATATAATAAATAACAGATAGAGAATAAATACATCTGTAAAACAACAGAAAAAGTACTGGCAGTTTATTTCAAGG